AATTCTTTCTTCTTCTGCTAAAATTCGAACATGTCGACGAACTGATTCATTTGGTGTACTTATTTGTTGTGTTTGTATTGTTTGCATCGGTTTTTCGATTGTTTTTGTATCTTCATTTAAATTTGAAGGTGACTCATCGTCAGTCATAATTGGAAATTAAGTTTCGTCGCTGAATGTGTAGGACAGAATCAACTCCTAATTAAGAAGGATTCCTTCTTTAAGTAATTATAATCGTCGTTTGTTAAAAGAAGAAAATGTTTAACTTCTTCCAAACCGCTGTCACCACTTGTTATGCTTTATTTTATATAGAGAATAAAAGACGTTCGAGTTCGTTTGGTTAAAGCATAACTGCCTGTTTTATTTCTCTTTCACTAATATATATAACAAAAGAATAACAAGGGAGAGAGAGAGACAATCACAAACACGAAAGAGCTATAACTACATAAATAGATGGCAGGATGTAACACTTTACAACATTAGAAATACTGGAATCTTGAGATGTGAGGATGGTATTTGAATCTAATTTCAATATATTTATTTTTCAGTTGATCAGGATTTTGATAAAGTGCCTATTGAGGAGCAACTATGTGGAAATCAAATATCGCGGAAACAAATGTTATAGATTCAAAAAGACTGAGAAAAACATTACATTATTCAAGGTTCGATACGAGTCATTTTTCATCATTATATAATCACAGAGACCACAATAACATAAGTAATAATGATATCCTGATACAAAATAATTCAAAGTTTCAGTCAAGTATAAGAAAGACAAACCTTAAAACTGACAGTGATGTCTTATTGTTTGTTTAAATTGTTTTTCTTTTTTATTATTCTGTCATGTTGCATACGTAAATTAAATTGAAGAAACTCTGGATGAGAATGAAATTATGAAATAAACCTAGTAAAGAATAAGTAAATAATGAAGAACGAAAGTAATTATGTGATTAATAAAAAAAAAATTTATATATACTTAGATTTATTTTTGCTTCATTGAATGCTTTTTTAATAATTCATCTTTTTTTGTCTGAGAGTTTAAAAAACTTTTTTGAGGTAAAACTTTCTAAAAATAATTATAAAAACTGATTTTGAACGGGACATGAGAAACGACATAACAAAAATGTTATTGTTTAAATGTAAATAAAAGTATGGCTTTTTAGTGGGAGTGAAAAAGCTGCCATAACCGAGTTTGAACTTGTTTGAGAGTCCTATCAGATGGCTTATTTATTTATGATTCAAAAAAGAATCCTAAGAAGATATATTTTCAGTTTTACAAAACGAATTCATAAAAGAAGATTCATTTTTGGCAGAAGTGTCAAGAAGCTACGAGTGTGGTTGGGTGTTATATGAGCGTCAGTGTTAATTTTGGCTGATGAGTGACGAAGATTGATACCAATACCCACACCCGATCTGATGATTTTTAAAATTTCGAAAACTTTTCAGGGCGTGGAGATCGGTATTTTCAAAAACGCTCCAAGTGACTGAACACTTTCTCGCAGATTTCTGAGGGTTTGAGTTTTTCAGGAAATAGGAGTTTTTTCAAGAGTACGTTGGACAAAAAGCATGCCAATATGTGAATTGTATTTAGGAAAAAGTGAAAACATTGTATTATTCAAGAGTAAAATCCTAAAGTTTAAAATCTAATCGTATTTCTTTGTCCATGCCAATAGCGTTTTCGGTGATAGTGATATGTGTTGACGATCACAAGATATTCGAAAATTATTCGAACAAGATGGATGATTGGTCTGCATAAATCTCTATTAATTGTGTCATAAGAGTAAGATAAAACATTATACTGCTAAAGGAAGTCAATAAATGCAACAAAATATCTTTGTATTAATGTAAATAATTGAATGATTCATCGTAAATCAACATTAGATTGAATTCAGTATTGTTTAACGAAAATAATCTGTAGCTATCTATGAGCACTGGGTATCCAAGTATCCATATTATTGAATTGAGTTTTAATGAACCAGTTTTGCAAAGAACTGAAAACTATTTATCAATATAGTTTCTGTTTTACGCACTTCAAGAGTTTTTTATAAAGCGTAGGCAAATTATTGCTATGAAGTCAATGTTAGTGGCATGTATAGAAGTAGGGATAGAACGACAGAAAAATACAGATGATAACAAGAAAAACAAATGCCAAGATCAGTGACAACGGCAACTGTAATATCTTTGTCAGACGACGAAGAAAATAAAATTTGTGTACACGAAACATGGGTACACAAAATTGGTCACATTTATAAACTATCTCAAATACCATATGAAAATGCAGCGTTCATTTTTCATCTTTTTAAGATTTATTTAGATATTGATTTTACTTGAGGGTGTGGGTGTAGGTTAAGATAAGATGAACTCACACTCACACCCATCCATCTCAAATATCGCGTTGTAGAATGTTTTATGTGATCACCATTCTATGAAAGTCATACATCTGCGCTTACGAGTGTCGATTCGAAAAAAGCAACGTATTGTTGGAGTATGACTACTGAAAAACAACATGGCTTCTACTTACCTACTTCATTTTTTACACGATTCAAGGCTTTTAAATGAAATTAAAGTAAACGCAATAGTCACTCTCACTCATTCGGTGAAAGAATGACAGTCACTTGTTTTTTTTCATCTATACTCTATCGAGTAGACTTCACACAACAGGCAGAAGAAATTCATTTTTACATAGGTTGCATGCCTTTTTTCTATAATGTAAATGACACAATAAAAATGAGAACTTCTGTGGCGTAGTTACTTCTTTTTTATTCTAAATTAAATGCCATGATTCTGCCAGTAGTGATGTATTAATGCCTTTGTTCGTAGGATACCTAAAAGAGCGACTCGAACGTTATTCCGTCATTGAATTTGATCATCCATGCACGTTCTCGTACTTTTTTGTTTGAGAAATTCATTTTGATAGTCTCTCTTTTCATTTTAATTCACCAAACTTAAAAAATATTTTGCTTGTTTTTCCTGTTCACACTGTTTCTAACGAGTAGATATCGAGTGTGGGCGTGGGTGAAATTCTTCTCTACAGCCCACCCACACCCACACCCTGATTAAAGGAGTACTAGTTCTGTCTCAAGAAAATAGCCGAAAAAGACAATATTTTTTATTCCTAGATATTTACTTATCATCGTAAAAATAGGATCCACTGGAACATATTCGATGTTTTGTGAGTGTAAACAAAAACAAATTTCATGGAGTGCTTCCAACAATGAGTGAACTTGACCAAACACATGATAGTTTTGTTTTCTGTTACAGAGCTCACACAGCTAACATGCTCTGAAAATATCGAAATGTTAAGCTCGAACAGCACATTCCGGACTTAAACAATAATGAAGTATTCAATTTGTAGTTCACGAGTTTAACTCACCAAGATACCGAGATTTTAGCGAAATCGTTGCGAAAGAACCAAATGTGTAGCATTGTGTTTATCATTCTAGTATCTGTAGACCCCTGAAAGTGTTGCTTATCAACTATTCTCTCATGTCATCGCATGTGAATCAATCAGTTGTTTCGCAGACTATGATATATGTGCCTTCGCCAGGTATAGATACAAATCAGCTTGGCATGCATGACTTATAGACAGACGCGCTAGATTGATTCGGTTAGGTATTTGGCACGGGTATGGGTATGCATCTTTCCTATAGTCTGTAACTCATCAACTAAAACGCTCTGAAATTTCTTACTTTGATACGGCTACGTACTTGTTACAAGTTCTGTTGCCGTGCTTTTCATGAAATTGCTTCCATTCTGCCTGAAGTTGTGTGGAAACTTTCCGAACTAAATTTTTCTATTTGCTGAAGCTTCAGAAGAGATACTTTTTTGTAAATTTCATAACTTCATTAAAATTGTTGCCGTACAGGACTGACTAGAAGTGTGCGTTTACCCCGTTGCATCCCTAATCACTATACATGTTCAAGGTTCGAACTACTGTCTCAAAAACGATAATTCGGAGTCAAGATAAAGGTGTGAGTGTGAGTGTCTGAATTAAAAGAAGTTCTACACCCATATCCACACCCACAGCCCACACCCTTCCATCTCCATATTTCAGAACTAGAATGACAACATTAAAATAATCAGAACATCTCAACAGAATAATGAATTACTCCTACATAAGATGCCACTCATTCTTTTTATCTGTTGTTTCTCTAGTAATATAAGTATCTTTTTAAAGATATTATAGATTAGCAGATGTTTTCATATATTAACAGTTCGAACCATAAAAACTTGATTCCTATTGCAAGGTCATTTTTGAAATTGATGACAAATAATTGCAATCTTACTATAGTATGTAACAAAAACTGTACAATTGATATGTCACATGTAGGTCATTCTTATACTCATAAGTAATATCTGGCATGATTGCAATTGACGAGATGTTATTTTTATAATTGTGATCATGTGCAAGTGTTAATTATGCCAGACAGCAGTCATCAGTTCATCTTCTGACAATAATTTTATTCTAAAGAACGAAAAAACTTATGATGAAAGTGCGAGGCATGAGTGCTGATATGGCTACAGTTGAAATAAATACCCGCATAAACTCAAGCTCAGAGGGTGTGGGTGTGGGTGGGGGTGTGGGTGTGGGTGTGGGTGTGGGTGTGGGTGTGGGTGTGGGTGTGGGTGTGGGTGTTGTGATAGAGAACAGCCACAACCACAGCCACAGTCACACCCAGACACCCACACCCCATACCCCACACCCACACCCACACCCACACCCTGTATGCACAAATATTCTTAATCCAGGTGATAACCGTTGGTTTTGTGCTCCGTGTCACTTTGCGACATGCCCCGGATGTAATCTTAATGATCTAGCCTTGGCTCATCCACATAAATTAGTACCACATATTCTTCCTACTCAACAAAGAGCATATGGTTCAACATCTGCTGAATTGATTAACAATGCTTTTAAGGTATTTGGATCTTCGCCATTTATCGGTTTTAGACGTCAAGAAGACAGACAATTAGTATGGTTAACGTACAGCGATATGGCGTCAAAATGTTACGTATTAGCAAAATATTGGAAACAATTTCTCTTGAATATCAGTCAAAATACTAGACCATACATAGTACTGTTCGCTGATACTTCACCTCCTTATATCGTTTCCTTATTAGCGGGGCTTTTATGCCAAGCTGTGCTTATTCCGACGAATGCAACTTTGCAAATTGATGCGTTAACACATGTTTTATCAACAGCAGATCCATCCATTATCATTGTTGATGAAAAATACTTCGATAAAATTTCAAGTATTTTAGTGCCAAAATCGAATATATTAATAATAACTATTAGTCAAAGAGAAGAACAATTTCAGCCAGTGACATCATTTCTTAAAAATTCAATTTCATTGACAACTGCTCTAGAATTAGGTGCTAAACTTTCGAATGATATTTTGCCGAATTCTTCTTTATCTAATGAAACGATTTCGGCTATTCTTTCGACTTCTGGTAGTACAGGGTATTCAAAAGGAGCAATATTCACTGAAGACTTACTAGTTTCCATAGATACATTTACACTAATATCTCCATTTATTCGTATTGATTATCAGCCATTTGATCCTGTTTTATTGCTTTCACTCATGAGTACAATACAATATGGTACTAGTCGAGGCTTAACAAATCTAAAAGATATGTGGGATGATATAAAAGATGTAAGACCGACAAGTCTTGATTTAAGCCCAGCAATATAGACATTTTTATATAAAACATATTTGAGAAAGTTGAATGGAAATCCAACGGATGAACAAAGGGAGAACGCAGCAAGAGAAATGCAACAAAGTTTAGGTGGTCGAGTGATTAGTGGTACATCGAATGGTGGCTCAATTTCTCCGTCGGTATTATCATTCATTCGAAATATATTGAAAATTGATGTTGTTGATATGTACGGTTGTCGAGAGTGTGGTAATATTTCCAGGGATGGTGTTCTTTATCAAGGTGTTGAAATTAAATTGTTTCCAGTGCTTGAATTAGAACTAGATGGACAGACAGAAGGTGAAATTTGTATACATTCACCTCGAATGATATCTGGTTATTGGGGAATCGATAAATTAAAATTGCTCAATCAATCAGACACAATGATAAAGAACTCCATGGCTGAATGGATATCACCAGTTAATATTGAAAATATCCTGGTACAACTACGAGAAATTTCATCAGCATTTGTTTTAGGCAATTCAAGTTGTGCTTATGTGACAGCCATTGTATGCCCATATGATAGTGGTAAAACACTGAATGAGTCTGAAATGTTACAATTGATTCGATTTTATGGTGCTCATTGTGGTTTACGTGGATCAGAAATACCGCAATGTATTTATTTTGAGCGAGATATTATTTGGAACGTAACAAATGGTTTAATGAAAGAGAAAAAATGTCGAGCAGCATTAATGAAACATTGTTCTCAAGTCAAAAACAATCTTTTCCACTACGATAATGTTGAAGTACATATGAAAAATCTTAATTTGGATATAGAATTCGTATCTATATTAGAAAATGTTCTAAATTGTCCTTTAAAAGGACATATCAATGGTAATAATACATTCTTAGAAATCGGTGGTGATTCTTTAGCTGTCGCTCGTTTATGCAAAGTATATCATGAACGTGGCATTCCTTTGAATCCATCCACTGTATACAATCATCAATTAGATCATCTTCAAGAAATATAATTGAAGAAACGTATCGTTCATGATGAAATCATAATCGACATTGATTGGAAAAAAGAATGCCAGATTCCTAACCGTATTAGAAGTCTCATTAAAAAATCATCAAGTATAAAAAAGATGAATATCTTAGTTACTGGTTGTACAAGATTTTTAGGACCACTACTCATCAGTGATATCATCAGTAAAACAGATAGTAGCATTATAATATATTGTCTAATAAGAGCAAGCAATATTGAACATGCACAAAGACGTCTAGAACAAGATTTACAAAAATGTAAACGGTTTTCTTCAATCAATTGGACACGAATTCGATGCATTGTTGGTGATGTTTCGAAAGAAAATCTCGGCTTAGATCAGAATTTCTACAATGAACCAATACAACAAATCGATCTGATTTATCACAATGCATCCATCGTTAATTTCCGACTTCCCTATAAAGCATTGAAACAATCAAATATTTTTGGGATGTTAAATTGTTTGGAATTCGCAGTGAGAGCAAACGCTCGACTTGTTTACACAAGTTCTACAGCTTCATTGTCTACTTTAATCGATTCTAAAGAGAATTCTAATGGATGGATAACATTGACACCAAATGATATGAGTCTAAAAGATGGTTATGGACAATCAAAAGCTGTTGTTGAACAATTGTTATGTACAGCTTCAAGTTTGTGTGCAGATATTGTCATTAATCGACCTTGTGCAATATCTGGTGATACTCAAACAGGTTATAGCAATATTTCTGATTTTATTAATTCATTATTACGTGCCGAAATTGAAATGGGAGGTACGGTTGAGAATGCTGACATACAATTACATCTTGTACCAGTAGATTACTGTTCCAAAGCTATTGTTGCTTTAGCTATGCATTCTGATAGCAGTGAACACTGTTTTAATTTCTATGGGAATAGTTTAAGTATTTCATGTTTGCATAATGCAGGCGTTCAACAATTACCAGGTGTCATAACGAAAAAAATCGAACAAAATAATTGGAAACAATATGTATTGAAGAATCTGCCTGAAAATAGTCTAGCATGTCGAATAAAAGATCAAATCGCATCGATGATATTTACAAATGGAAATATTCAACAAGTAAAATTCGGCGTCCCAATACAAATGACCAAAGACTTTCTTGAGAAGAAGTGTGATCTGAAATGGTTCGAAGTGACCGAACAAGATTTAATTAAATCAGTTGAATATATGATTAATATTGGATTTCTATCTCGTCGATCATCTTAATTATTTAACATAGTAGAACTGTTACATAATATGTATATTCATTTTGATCATGATAAAAGAGTTTTGACAGCATATTTCTTCATTGAAAGCATGTATCTCATTTACATTTGTGACCTTGAAGTTACATCAAAATATTATTGGAGAAGTTCTATAAAAATGATTAGATATTCTTCATTTTAAATCATTGAAAAAATTTGTGAAAAAGTATAAGACACTGAATAAATATACCGAGGAATAGCTATATATATATATTAGTGACAAAATGAGATGATTCAGCTCTGTACGATGTTTAGAATTGTGATGTTGAGATAAGAAAAGAAAAGTAAATGACTCATAGGTAATGTTTCATCCTTCTTAACTCAGTCGGTGGAATTTTCTCTGCAAGGACGGACAAAAATTGCATAAATAAAGAAGCACAACACAAAGGGACTTGTATTCTTATTCCTTTCTTTCCTTCAATAGATAAATGTTATTGACAAAAAGTTGTTAGTTTTGCCTTTGTTGCTTTCTTCTACTCGATAGTATATTTTACTCCATGAATGATCAATTATTTTTGCAAAAAAAAACGAGTTTCGTTGTAGAAGGAAGGAATCATATAAAAATCAATAACATTATCTACTTTAATGCTTATTTTAGATTTTTCGCTTCGATAGACAGATATTGATAATGGATTTGTCTTAGATTTTTGCCTATGTTGACAGTTATGGCTCATTTGATTTTTACCGCTGTAGCCACTCTCTCTGACGTCTGCATAAGTCCTATTAAAGATATACAGCGAAACTGCTTAAAATCAGATGAATAATGCCGAGCAATCATAGTTTTTGAATTACATTTTTTTCTTCCGCTATTGCATCTTGTTCTTTTCATTTTCATTTTCTTTCCCTATTTTCACAGTAACGAAGTCTTTTGACTTATACACAAATCTTGTTGAAGTAATCAACAGTAATAATATAAAAAGCGAAATGATAATGCAACAAGTAAGTATGCTTGTTCTGGTTACAGTTTTCACGGAAATGAAACTTTTACCATCCTGCTAGCGAAATTTAAATAAAACTATGTAGTATATCAGTAGAATATACACTACTTTCAAAGATTAATTCGATACTTTTGAGAGTCAATTGCATATCAGTAGAGCCGACACTTTAGTGGAACGAGAGCCAAACTATTACTTTGAAAATCTTAGAAAAGATGTGTCAAGACCTAGGTTATTTGTGACAACACTTGGATGAAGATACTGCAATGATACTGAGTGAATCGATCAATAAACTCGCAAAGAATATGGATGACAAAATTCGAAATATTCGTCAACATCAATTAACTTTTGTGTTCATAATTATGTTCTTGTCTGCATTGTTCTTGATCAATTTGAAACTACTCTTTGTTCTTCGTGATCCAATTGGTCAATCACTATTTATCATTGCCATTACTATATTTGTATTTTATCTTTGGAGTAAAAAAAAATTAATGGTAAGTCTAATATAATATTCATCAGTCAGTAAAATCATTTCAGCTAAGTTTTTTCTCTATTAAAGACGCAGATTAATACGTTAGTTTTCTCATTTCACAAAATATCTGTATTTTTGTTTATTCAATAATTAGTCATATTTACAGGAGTCTTCAGAATTTAAAAAAACAAGTATCAGAAAAAAACAGCCTTCAGAGATAGCTACTCGTAAATGATGAAACTTGAGAAGAATCAGCACCTGCTTTTGTTTAAATAAATAACTTCAACTCAAAACCTATGTTTTCATGTGCTCACTCGTTTGATTTCGAGTTTCTAGAATTAGTGTGAATCGCTAGTTCTATGTTTTTCCTTTCAAGATTATTGTGCAGAACCTCTGGTGCATCATTTCTGGATTGAATACCCTTTATACATCAGTGCTGTTTGGACTAAACCATATACGGTTCAATGTTATATTTTCATAGCTCAGTATTATTTATCACAAACCTCCACCAGAACTTCAGAATGGTGTACCAGAATTCTGTGTCATAAAGTAGCTCTACAATAATCTGTTTTTTCTTTGTACGTATGTCAATTAGTCTGCAATAGATCTACTGTGCAGGCAACCACATTCTAGGAGATTATTCGTGTTGTGCTTCTTTTTTTCTTGATAGGAAACTTAAGACGTTAAATAAATACTATCTCTTCACTGTCTGCAGTTTTTTTTTATCGTATCTGTCACCATTATTTGTCTTGTTTTATGACTTTTTTTTATTGTAGCGATATTGTACCATTTACAAGAATAGTTTTCTTCATTTATAGAAATAAAAAACCAACAGAGACACAACAAAAATTACAGACATAAAGTTTCTATGGCAAGAAGTTTATGCTCATCATTGACGTCACATATCGTTGTTTTTTGTTTTAATTCTGAAAAAAATTGGTGAAAAAAATCAGGATGACTGGAAGCTGATCGTTAGATTTTTCCAATTGTTTGCATGCTTAATCCATTCGTTTTATCATTCAGTCGTGTTTGATTGATTGGTCCGATACGGCTTTGTTTTCTATTACGACATAGAATGAGACATTTAAATATAGCCATCAACTCCTTTCGAAATGTGCGTGATACTAATGAGTTTGAATAGAATGTTGAAGCTGGGAATATATAAACAAACAATTCACTAATTACTTGCGCAAAGCCTTCAATCGCTCGACGATCAACAGATTTATTCTGTACGTCGCGAGTTAATGCTGTGTATAGATTATTTGACATGAACGGTAAAGCAGATACAATATAGATGGCTACTTGTGTCAATAGGATGATTAATACTTGTTGATCACGTGTATTTTTCTGCCGTTCTGATCCAGTGGGGCGTAACATTACTCTACGTTCGTTTCTCATTTTGAGACTTTTCCAGATGAACATAGTACATATGAGCATAATTAAAGGAGGTAATGTACCACCCATAATAAGTATAAAAATATCATGATAAATAGCCACACTATTGTTTGTTGTTATACATCCAATATTACCTGGTAATATAATATTAGAAAAGATCAATTTATGAATAGGAAAGACCATCCAAATAATGACAACCAATATAGCTATACGGCGAGCCATATGAACTGTTAAGCAGCGGCGAATATTAGCATTTGTTGAACATTCAATACAACGATCGACACATCCCATAACTAGTAGCCATCGACATGACATGGCACTCCATTGATTGACATAGCCACGAGTTTTACAAAAAGCATTGATGGAGAAAAATGGATTCGAAGAATTGAATTGAGCGTAAATTAATGGGATGATACCCATTGATAGGAGAACCACTGCAGGAAATGATGATGCAAAAAAATCTACAAATAAAGAATATTAATTACTTTTAGAAAACGCTATTCATGTCTAATGTTACTTACAAGTGCAACAGGAATTTGATCGTAGATTTCTTCGAGAGAAAAGGATTATATTCACCAGACTACCAATAGTGCCCAATAAAAATACACTTGTTTCGACGTATTTTATAACGATTTGTTGAGCGAGAGCGAGTGACTTAGCCAATAACGATGTCATGTATAATCAGATTTGTAATGAGCTAAAAAGAAAAATAAGTCTTTCTGGCAATTAAAATAAAGCATATCTATTGCAAAATTTTTTCAATCCCTTTATTATTGATTCTTCACTGTGTCGATTGTTATTCAACTTCAATCAAATGAATAAAACTAACAAATGCACTTAATAACAAATATCTGGATATGTGTGAGTCGCAGAAAATAGCTCAATCTCAACTTGGATTTTATTAGCATATTCGATCTTTTCATTTAACCTTAACGGCAACCAGAATGTGAATCTGTAAGGCTTCTTTTTGACGACAATAGAAAACAAAAGAAATCAATTTTTAGACGTTTAATGACAGAATGAAAACAGACATTGTTAAAAAGTCGTTCTATCTATTAACAAGTCATGACTGGAACTCGAGTCGAGTCGTTCTCAAGTCAATCATTAAAAAACAACTTTGGTTAGCTCGTTTGAAAATTTAAAACTTTTATAGATAAATTTCTCGATATTTGTGCGCAATTTTCAACTTCTGTATATGTATAACAAAATCAAGGATAGTTTTACATTGAGTTTCTCCTACATAATCGCTGTTTGAACCTTTTTTTTAATACCGTCTTTTCTTGAACTATAATTCTCTGAGTTTTATACGGGTTAAGAACTTTTTGTTCACATCTTTACAGTGTAATAAGACATTAATTTATTAGAGATGAATTTAGGACGAGACCTTGATGATGACAGAGAAGCAAAGGATCCGAATCCACAATTCTGAAACGTAGTGGTTTTCCATAGGAAAATTGCTGCAACAGTTTTGTTTCAAATCTAAATACTTCAACTTTATCCTGAAGAAGAGTATCCGAAACTTAGCGTCACATATGCTACGATACCCACTCTATTTCTTTCGGTACATCCCAGAATGAATTTTACTCATAATTAAGTTTATATACAATATTTTGTTCATAAAAAAGGATACTTTTTCTCCACAATACAGTTGTCCTGTTATTATTATCTAGTTAGTGACGTATAATCTCAAAGAAAACAGTGAGTGTAAGTTTTATGTCGAAGTTTTTACGGCTTTCTCCTCCTTATTACAGACGTTCACCATTACAGATTTATAGTAATATATGGCACCTTTTTGGATACTTAGCAACTTAGATCCTTATTGTATACATCAATAATTTAATAATAAAAGCATAACACTCCACTATGTTATAAAACTCTGGTGTATTCTAAAAGTTTTGTATAAACTTCAATAGCTGAAAGTTCAAGTTTAAGATGTTGATATCGATCAAGACAATGTGTCTATTTGCGATAGTTCTCATGTGATCAGCTAAAAGATAATTTTATGAAACAGTAAGTTTTATTTAGGTCTAAGCAATTTTAAAGATTAAGAATTGACCAAGATGTATATTTGTTTATCGATATATAGCTTAAAATACAATCGATGGGAACAGCAATCATAAATGTGAATCAAATCAAAGATCAGAAAAATAATAAAGTGAAGATACGGAAAATAAAATATGAGAAAGAAAAATAGTGCGCGGTTAGTAACAGCGAAAATATCTTTAAAATTCTTTTAGAAACACAGAAACTGGATATATTATTGCTCTGTACATCGATTATTTTGCAGAACAACTATAGTCTATCAGAAATTTTTCCCTCCATATATATTGTTTATTAGGTTAATAAGAGAAGAGAGCATACATGATTTTCACGATTCAACACCAAAGGGGTTGTGCTAACAAGCTTTATAAATATCGTTCCTTACTCCTATGAATTTCTAATTAAATATTGTGTCATGAAAGTTTCTTATGTGCGTTTTTAGGAAACATAAACACAGAAGAATTGAGAAATGAAAAAGATTGACTTGACTCGAGAAAATGCTTGATTCACTCAGCCTTGTCGATAATCATGGAAGAATAGCAGAAACTCTTTATAAATTATAAATGAGATAGGAGTATCCTATAATAACGGCAAAAAATCAAAAAGTTTTTTTTTAAAGTTATAATTGCGAGAAATTATCTCATTAACTATAAATGACATAGAACTTTCTTATAACTATGACAGGCGACATAGACAGTATACTACTGCGATAAGCTGTGGGTGTCATAGTCTCAATAACTCGTCATCCATTAAGGTCTTTTCTTGCCACCGTCATTTGGTGTGATGACGTTTGAGTATGTGAATATGTGTTAGATTCGGTGTAAATCATAATTATCATACTATTTCATATATCTCTATACGCCCTTACTTCTATGCCTCGTATGCCTTCATGAACAAATAATTAAAGACGTTTCCGGATATTCAAATCATTATTGTGGCAATTAATAAGCATAATTTTCGCTGTACTTATAGAGAAGTCCTATCTCATTTATCATTTATAAAGCTTTTTGCCGATGTAAGCCAGTGTCGGCTTGTTTTTTTTTCTTTTATCTTCGAAGCGATATAAAATAGTTGATTCTTCATTTATATTATAATTTGAATTAGGCAACCCCGAAAATCAGTAGATTTTAGGGGAACTCAATCACAAAAAGCACGATGTCTTGAACATTTTCTTGATCTACCATGTTTTCTGGAGCTTTTTTAAAATCAAAATGGCGAGTGAAACCATTTAACTTGTAATATGTTGACTTCTTATAAAAGGATATAGTTCGAAAGTGACATTTTTATTGAACTCTCAACGCGCAATTTCACCGCTTTCATAATTGAATTTGTATAACAAAATATTAAAATCTACATAGGATATAAAAATCATAAGTCTTTCTGGATGTTGACATATCCCAAGAATGACTCAAACCAACCAAAAATATGCACATGATTAAACTGCTAACAAAATACTAACGGTTTTTCGCTATGGTCTCTTATTTCATTGATACTTAAGAACACGATGGATCTTATTCTTCACAAAAATAGATGTGTTAACAAATGGCTAATTCACGAACACTGAGCTCATATATGAGTCGTATCGTTACTGATGAAGAATTCATTAAAAATTACATAATATTGACTGTCTCATACTTAAAAGAGGACTGATGTCAAAGCATATGTTACAGACATTCCACGTTGGTAGCTTTTAACTTGAAGTTTATTTCTCGCAAAATATACATAATTAAAATTCAAAGAAAATTTTTAATCTAAAATTAACTTCTGTTACTGGAATTTTCATGTATCTCTAGTCATGAAATCTTCTATATCAAGAATTGTGTTAATGATTTTTGAATCATTTCCTTAGTAAAATAAAACAAAAAATTGAATGAAACTATAATAAATACGAATTCTGCTAACTTAATCTATTCATCTTTCTTTAAACAGAATTTCATTTATCAATAAACAATATTGTATAACAATTTTCAAAGAAAGAAATAGAAATGCTACTTAATATTTGAAAAACTGTTTTTCTAAGAGCTCATATAGTATTGATACGAATCTCAGTATCTATTCTGTTATTATCGGTTTGATAAGCACTATTTCTCAGAAAGATGATGTTCTATATCTTATTCCACTTTTTTATCTCTTTAATTGTGGTCTTTCTTTTTGGAAATAATATTACTAATTATATTATCATACCACATATATTATATTCTTTATATTAAACGTCATTTATTCTGAGGAAAAGATAATATGACGTGTGTTAACAATAAATTAAATACGGTACTTACTTCGCACAAACTCATCTCTCACGAATTTATAAATTGAACATGATCATGCATTGATTGACCTCCTAAGGGGATAATTCAAAATTATTGTAATAGGGAATTCTATCTTGGCAGACGGATATGCGCTGTCAACAGATCACGAGATATATTTCAAGCTATAAGATACTGTGTAGAAGAGTTGTAGATAGATTCAATTTTTCTTCCAACAGATCTCTAAAAGAGTCTTTTCGGTTAATTTCACCGAGAAGGTATCATTCTTCGAATTTTCACATTGTCGCTTTTTTCAATAATAGATAGAAATTCAAGAAGATAATTTTATCATGTTGTTAACGGTGCATGACCTAGATGTGTTATTTTTCTTTTATCTTTATTTCTCTTTCCTTCTCTCTTTGTTTTTCCTGTTTATATATATACATGTACGTGTGTGTGAAGATAAGGGGGAAGGGGAGCGTTTTTCCGAAATATACATTTTGTTATGTTCGAACAAAACGAGCTAACAACTGGGTGCCGTGATCCATCTTCTTCTAATTACTACACCGAAGAAGAACGAATTTATTTAGAAACTTAGGGTGTGGGCGTGAGTGTTCCTCTCATAAACACCCACACCCTCACCCACACCCACTCACCTTTTTGCGGAAAGTAAAGATCTTTACAACTTGGTGGACATGACGAACAACATTAATCATATACTTCATTTACACCACATTTTGATAATATTTTCTTCTTGTTACACAGACGCTTCAAGATACAAGAACTACCAGTTTTATTAGTCTGTTGAACATATCTAGGTTCACACAAAACATACAAATCTACAACTTGCAGTGCAAATTTGTGGTTTATAATCACAGGTTTTAATACAAGTTGGTCCACATATACATTTTTCATGTGGACCACATTTGGGATATATTTTTGATTTGATAGAGTCTAGAAAATCTACAGTTTACATGAGAAGACAAATTAAAATTATCAAGAAAAAAATTTATTTTCTAAAATATTACCTCCTTGAATATGGATAATAGAAATTATTAAGAAGAGTAGGATTCAAATATTAAACATTGAATGCATTATAATGTACGCTTTGTCAAATAATCAAATAAAGATATGTGACAATGTTTGTTGTATTTGTATTCACTAAATTTAGAAGCAAAGGTAAATCGAGTGTAAACGAAAATAAGAATGATTACTCATGATAAAACCTTGTCTTCATAAGTCTTATGAAAAAAAAAACGTACGAATATGATAAGGTTTTACGCGATTAAATTTTTCATAAAAATAGCATAAATAAATAATAACAATAAAGAACTATTATTAATACTGAAGAGAAACGATTTAAACTCAACAACCTTCTATTGTTAAATGTAACATAACTCATCACACCTATTTTTATAAGAACAAAACATTTAAAATTCTTAGATAAACTGTCCTCAGTCAGACTGAACCATTGGCAAAAAATGCGTTAACACTTGTTAAAATTTCTTGAAAATATGTAGGCTTTCGCGTAGATTTACGCGTTTTTACCTGTAGAAAACTCATGATGCACCGATTTTCTTTAGTTAAGATATAAACACACTGAATCTTTTTTTTACGAAGTAATTAAACATCTGTTAGTTAAACCACGTTGATGATATCAAATTTTTTTTTCTTATATTACTGGAACAATCGGCAGGTATGCACTAAAAAACTGATCATCAAAATATATGAGGGCTGATTAACTATTTACCTATATATTGCTTTTATCTTTTGTGCTTATGCTCAGCTTTTCATAGCATCTTCAAAGTTATCTATCCTAGTTGATATATATATTTATTTTACTTTTCTGATTCTCGGTATTAAAATACATTTTAGTTATCTAGGGTACCCGTTCGGATAGGTACGTTAGTTACCGATGGATTTTCAGATTTCTGACTATTTCTATCAAGTAATCGAATAGTCAAACCGTCAATATCAGAACTAAGAAAATTAGACAACTTGATAATGATAGTCATAATTAAGGAAAAAGTCATTAACTCTAACTTTGGAGTTCGCACTCTTTTGGTCGGAGTTGGAGTGAAAATTTTGAAAAAAAATCTGAATGGAGTTGATTTGTTTAAAATTAACTTGAAGTTAGTGTTGTTCAACTCCGATTCAACTTTCGATAGCTTCGTGAATTTTGTTAGGGAAGAAAATAAAAGAAAGGCGTAATGTAAGTAGAGATGTCTACACATTATAGTCTTGGCATGAAGGTATATGGAAAAGAAGAGAGGGAGAGAAAAATATCAATAGAGACAGCGAATTTCTAAGTAGACTAACGATTTTATTCAGTAAGAAGTGCTTGACAAAAGTAAATTTTATGGAGTCTATATCTTCTCATTGATTGTTTTTTGGATAGTGATCAATTTTAAAATGAACTCATCATCATGATTTGTTCTAGACCTCTATCAAAATCTTTTTTATGTTTTCGAGAGTATACTAATTAAGTAAGACCTATTTATACAAAGAAACAATTTATTATGGTATTAGGCGCATTTATCTTTATTTATCGACATGATAAAAAAAAAAGTTTTTTTAGTTCTTTTTATACCTTCTAATTGTTTTCTAATAAGAGAAAAGGCTGTTATGCATAAAACTCGGGCATATTTTGTTTCTTTTTTCCATTTCTCATTCTTGTGTAGTTGAATGCATCATGTAACATTATCTAATATTTAATCAATCATCTGCACATTAATATTTTGATGTGAATATAGGAGAGGTTTGGAATATATATAAAATAATATACTAATGGTTTTCACAGACTCGTCGAATATCAGGCCGGATTGACCTTATAATTGTTATGATATGTACATGAATGTATATATTAAAATAAGTTCTATTTCAGAACAGAAATTGTATCTCGATATTCTCTCATATTTACTAGCTATTTAGAAATGTGAAAAAAAGTCATATATTCGAGACATTTGTATTGTGGATACAAAATACAGTAAACAGATTTTAGCCTCCATTTATCTATGAAACATGCTTGGCTGTCATATTTCATCAATAGCAGTCATGGAACTAATCTTCTAAAATAAGATGTCAATTATTGTCAAAGTATAATAACAATAAGAAAAACTTTCTATTTTCTAAATGAAAATGTCTATTTCATTTTACGTATTCTGATATCATAGGCTTAGGCAAATATATTGATTCTTTCAGTTGATTATTAAGTAAAAAGTAATTAGCGAATGTATTTCTAATGATATGAAAAAAAAACAACTCAAAAACTTCACAATAGATTCTGCAGTACGAAGCACACCTACAATTGAATTTTCAGCAGATTCGAACTTTAAAAGATTTCACTTAAAAATCGTTTTTCTAATGATTCTGTGAAATCTTGAAACATAAGCTTTTACCTTGTTTCCATCTAAAGAATCTGAAGAAGGATTTGTATTAGTTGGAATCGATTTGGAGCTTCTCACTTAGCTATAAGAGCATTCTTTCATCCCCTAAAAGTCGTTATTTTATTCATACACGTATCTAGGCACCTCAGTCATCTCCAACTTTAGTGTCATCTAGTGACTACCTTCAGAAGCGACGAAATTGTAAATAACGCGATCAATAATCATTCTAACTGTGTTGATGATTTGAACGGCTTGTTGTGTATTGCCAAATATCTCTATAGGAACTAAAACATTTTCGCATTCTTATTTATTCATAATATTATTCAAGAATTTCACGCCTATGAGCAGTAGTTAATAAGCTATTTAATGGTTTGTTGTGAAAGATAATATTTCCAATATAACGAGCACCATATTTTGTCAAATGTGCACCATCATATGATATTAGCTTTCCATCTGGAGTAAACAGAGGACATGTTCCATTAAATTCACTAGAGATCAACTTTTGCATATTGACAAATATTGATGGATCTATTATTTGTTCCAATAATGCGTTTACTTTGACAGCTACTAAGTTTGGATGTTGGCGTTGTTTTACTCGATATTCATTCGACTTGTCCACATACAACTGTGGATTAACTTTTCCAAAACTTTTTCCTCCTATTACAAACAATTTCTGTTGTTTTTTTGTATTTAGTAATTTTAATGTGGATGGGAGTTGTCTAGCACTCCACTCATCCCAATTACTTGCTAGGATAACGATATTTGCTTGACGAATATGTGATAAAGCATATTTAATATCATTTGCATCAGTGCACTTTTGTTTATTACGAGCCACAATATGTTCGAGTCTATTTTCTGGACCTATATGAATTTGACAGTGTGTATGAACAAAATGAACAAGTATCTCATCATTCATGAGATATTTGTTTTCTATAATCATGTTATAAAAATCTTGAGCAAAACTATCACCGATCAGGATGATCTTCCTATTCCCCTTTAGTAATCGATTTGAAAATGTGTTCGTCCTTCGTACTAAATCATTGAATGCACCTGCAACATATTTCGAATTGCCAGATTTTCGTAGATCAGATAAATAAGGATCACCCTGATTGTTGATGATCAAGGATCGATTATTCGCAGTTCTAATAAGAAACAATCCAAGGAACAATATTGTTATAGCAGTTATAAAAGCAGTACAAAATATTTGCTTTTGAGAAAAATACTCTCTGTTCCGAAATGGTTGTTCGACGAAGAAGTAGCTGAAGATTGCAAGAAGAAAGACAAAGCCAAGAACGATGAGAACAGTTAAGACGTGTGGTGTTTCACTGGATCGTAGACGAATAAATACAAGCAGTGGTTGATGCCAAAGATAGATACTATAGGAAATAAGACCCACCCAACGTAGTGGACGTATAGAAAGTAACCGTCCCACCAATGTCTTTTTTGTTCCAAAAAGAATAATTAATGTAGCTCCAAATGTAGGGATAAGAGTATAAAAATTGGGAAATGGAGGTATGAGACGGTCATCAAAGAGCAAGATGGAGACTATGATGAGCACGAGTCCGAAAAAGGCGAGAAAATCGTCGTACTTGGGCGCAGACTTCCTAAAAAGGAAAAATTCCAAGGAAGGTATTTTGACATCTCTCGTAAACATTCACTTTCCATTTAAAAAATCAATGAGTGAAACTCAAACATATTCGAGATTTTTAGATTTAAGAAAGTGTAGACAATTTAGATATTTCGAATTTTTATCATTTGAAAATATATTCTTAGTTTTGTCATTATTTTAAAGCTTTTTTATTGTCATTATACGGTGAAATTTGATCTCTTTTGACTACAATATCAAAAAACTAGCTTTCTCTTTTTTTTCTTTAGATGAATAAAAGCAGAAGACTGAAGTACTGTAACGTGTTTCAAAAAAAACAACAATATACTCTTTGTAAATTTTTCAAAAGATCTTTTGAAATCTAAAGAAACTGTTATTTCTACTTTAAATTTCGTCTAGAATACAATTTATGACAAACATAGTTTCTAAAGAGCAATGTTCAAATATTTCTCAGTGTTTATAGCATAGTACGTGAAAGAAAAATGAAGGTGATAATTATTAAATGGTATTTGTAAAATATGTAACAACCACGTCTACTATACGAGATAGTTCATGTAAGTAACGACCAGACCTTGTCAATTTAATATAGGTGATCGAACGAAGAACTTTGTGATACATATCTTTTCGAAAAATGTCGAGCACTCGATTTTCTTATGGATGTTTTATAATAAGTTCTATAAATGAGCGTTTTCAATGAAAAGTTTGTTGTGAATATATAAATTTACGAGCTTTGCTTAAGATAAAATTTTCACTATAGAATAAAGTGTCTTTGAATCTTCATAAAGATCTGAAATATTTATCAAAGCTAAAATTCATGAATTTATATATGCACTGAATATTTCAACCCTGTATATTATTCTTTCAGACCAATAGGATCCTCATCAAATCTGACTTTTGATGAAAATCTTTATATTGTGCCAAGGTTTTTTCCAAAAATATGTGATAATTTGCAGAGTGGTCTTTTGAAATTAAACGAACTAACTTATGGTCTACATCAGAACGGTGTTGCTATACGCATGAATATTGTATTGTCTAACACAGACAACCTAACTCACTCTTACATTCAAGAAACCTAAAAATGCCATTAAAAGATTAGAGAATAGTGTTCAGAATACCGCGTGTAAACTTTGCGAGTTTTGTAACTCCATAAAATATTAATTTTAGGAGTTGAAATACTGTTTTACAAACTCTTTTCATATGGGATTTATTGTAATATGAATATGAATCACAACTCGGTTTTTCAAATATGTTGAAGAGTTCTAACAGCTTTTTCTACTATTATTAATGGTATAATATCATAGTACTTGATTTCTAATTATCATTAACATTTTATGAATAAATTTCTCTAGTTTTCCATGGTGTTCCTATTTTCTACAAGTTTTACTCTCATTTTCTAGCTTAAGCTAGGGTCAGCAGTTTTTATAACTTATTTTTCTATGATTTCTTTGTGTTCTAATAGATGACAAGTTATTCAATTCAATAAGTGGTTAACCAGATAAGCTTAGTGTAATGACTTGTTCGTCTTGTCTAGTTTTCTACGATACACTCTAAAAAGAATAGCTAATAATAACTCTTTTAATTACCGTTTTTTCTCACTACACAAAATAAAGTAGACAACAAATACGTTGTCTTCAATCAACAACTCATATTTGTGCGACTAATATTCCTAGTAGTATCATATATGCAAGGTATTGGAAAAGCTAGAGAAGTCGATTTCTACTAAACTTTACATATCTATCACCAATGCATCTCCTTAAGTGGTAACGCATTGTCATGATGTTTTTACTCTTGGCATAGAATTAAACCAGATATGGTGGCATGAAAGCGGTTTCACTGAGTGTGATGCCAAAGGATGAGGATCTACTCTGCAATTGCTAATATGCAGGCCTGAACAATGCTCGTTTTCTGGAATACAGTCTAAATAGCTGGGTATGTTTTTTTACATTCCGATAACAATACTCGTTATTTATTCAGGAATGGTGTATGGAAACGTGTAATCATGACAAATTTTGGAAATCACGCTTTCCAATAGTACTGCGTAGCCAACTAGAACATCACTCTTTGAACAGAGTCGTGAATATCACACTACTCTTGTTGTGGGCACCATGCAAAGGTCTTTATCATGTACTACATATTCTCAGTACCACAAACGATTTAAAAAAAAACTCAGTGTTTCCATACTATTAGTCGAAACGATGTCTCTCCATGACACATTTCATTATGATAAATAGATTTCTGATACAGATACGATCAACGCTGCAAGTAAAAGGCGAATCTTTCTACCCAGAGCATTTTCAGCACTTCTTCGGAAAATGCTTAGCAACACACACACATACCTTCCTATCCATATATTTTGTATCACTGATATGATGCATCCATTTATGCATATCAGGGCATACCCTAGTCCCAATAGTCGAAAGAACGTATTTGTCAGGAGAATCTGGAGGGGCTACTTTGAGGAGATGTCGTATCTTCATAAGACAAATGAATAAAGCACGATGTCTCATAGATGATAGGCATTTAACATGGATGGTATATTCAGGACTCTCAGCAATAGCAACATAGAACCAACTCCTATACAAATAAAAACATTAGCATATTACTTACTTGCTTGATTTGTTAGTTCGTAAATGGAACTCAGCAAAAGTGCCGAGCAGTAGCTCCCACCCACGTCCTACAGGTAAGTAAAATGACGCCAAAGGATGTTGAGAAAACATGTGAAATCGACTAACAGAATTTAATTGTAGATTGCCACCCCATTGAGCAAGAAAGAAACTAAGTAGAGCGAAACATGTCAGAAGAACTGTGAGATAACATTTCTTGTTACGCAAGCAGTAGCATAGTATTGGAAATACCAGATAGAATTGTTCTTCTACAGCCAAGCTCCACGTATGGATCAGAGGATTTAATTTGATTAATTGTGAAAAATATCCATCATCTTTCCACCAAAAGAAGATATTCGAAGAGAGAGCAATGATAGAAATAAGTGATTGCCCAAATTCTTCCAGCTGCTCAGGTAACATCCAGTAATATGCAAAGATACTGCTGATGAATAGAGTGAAAAAGAGGGCTGGTAGAATACGACGACATCGCCTTTCATAAAAATCAAAAACTGAAAAATTTCCTTCCATATATTCAGATTCGATAAGCGACGTGATCAGATAGCCACTAATGACAAAAAAAATGTCAACACCGATGTAACCTCCAGCAAATATTCCAGTAAAGCCAGCATGATAAAAAACAACAGCTAGAACAGCGAGTGCACGTAATCCATCGATCTCTTCTCTATATGCGAACATAATGATAAACTATGAAGAGAATTCCTGTAAACAGAGAGAAGTAAAAATTGTACAGTCACATTTGGATGTGCACTGAAAAAGTGGTGTGCTACTGAACCTTCGAAGTTTCGTTTATCATGTTCCGAAAATACAAACATGCCAAAAAGGTTCGTAGGAAATCTACTTTCATCATTCTATTGAAAACAACAACACCACATATGAAGCTAGATCAAAATCATCGCTGCATATCGACCGACCCACTTCAGGTTTCAAACTACCATCTTCAAAAGCTAATTGTTGCACTGTCAAGGGGAGTTTTCCTAGTCAATCTACGTATGCCATGACCAGTTTTCCTCAATTGAGACGCGAAAATTTTGACTGCACTCTGAAACAGTCATTCGCTCTATAGTATGTAAAAACAAATTTTCGTCTCCATCTCATTTATGGTTTTTTAGAAAGAAATTGAACAAACCTTAGTAAAAACTGTTCGAAAAGCCTATGTAAGTAAAAAGATAGGTCTTAAATGAGGGTAAAACGTTTGGTTTTCTACTAAAAAAAAACTCTATAAGACAGGACAGACATCGAGCAAATCTGAAACTATAATTAAACAACCTTTGATGGTAGTCAGACGTCGCTTACGTGGATTAACTCTAAAAGAGAGATGAGAAATTAAGTACGACAGACTTACTAGGGAACCTTTCGAAGTGCTTCGTACCGTTCAAGCTCATACCTTGTTAATATATAGTGACGTTCCTATAAGTACATATATTATAAAAGAGGACTCGCACCATTACTCTTCAGTATGACAGTAACGGGTCGCACAAGTAGTTTAGTAGAAGGCACGACCTTCTCTGGCTTAGCATTTATCAATTTTCTATATTTACTATTTTAAAGACTTGTCAGTCGAATATTTGATTAGCAGTCTGTCTTTCATATGAGTGCAGGAATGGGCGGATGGCTGTAGGTATGAGTTTCGTATTCATGTAGACTAAAATTGATACTGATATCCATATGAACAGTAAAATCTCGAAG